AACGTGACGTTAAAGGGCGCCACCTAGCCCCGATGCCTCCGTGCGAAGTGCAAAGTGCACCTTACAAAGCGCCTTAGCCCGATTAACTCCGATCATCGGCCCATTGGTCCACGAGCCCACGGTCCACGAACCCACGGCCAGAACTTATGAGGGATAAATTAAAACAAAACAATTCTCGACTTGCTGTTGGCAAGCCTCGAACAGAGGAGCTTTTGAAACACCAAAACTTTTACTTTCCACTAGGCTACTAAGGATTTATGAAAATTACTAGTAGTTTATATATATAGTTTGAAAACTCATTTTGGAAAGCGGTTTTGACCAAAAAAATCCAACATTTCATTTTCATAAGAATTTGACAAATTAATTTAAACACACCTTGTAGACGGCTAAACAAGAAAGGTAATGAAAGGGTAAATTCACTTAACCCTAGCTCACTTATCATCCCTCAACTCAAGTAGTAGCCCCTACCAGTACCCCTAAAATAGGAACCCAATAACAAATTACTCTCAACTGTCGAATGAGGCAATAAATACTAGTAAAATAAATGGTGATTAATTAATGTGACAGAGGATATAGACGACCACAATGACATAACTTGTTACTTTATCTACCACCCAAAGAGTACATGTGACCACAAGGAAGTGTCGCGTGTGGGGTCACACGCATCTGGGTGCAGTTAGCTCTACTCAGTCTCTTAAATTAAAAAATTGACAGAATTATGATTTTGGTTGCAGACGAGGAAGCAAAAAAAAAATAAAAAATTAAACAAAGCAGGCAGAGATATCAGATCCCAAGGCAACACAGCAGAAACAGTGGCAGCGACGGCAGAGCAGAGGGCCAGTTGGCGACCTTCATCATGGCACCTGGCTCCTCGTTTCATTATTAGAACGGCCGAAACGAATATAGAAGGATATGGGGCCCAGCTTTTTAAAAAAGCCTGCCAACGTCCTCGTAAGAGTTGGGGAGTATGGGGACGGTAGAGAATGGGAGCCCACGGACCCTTGGCCCATAGATAACTGGGCTTAGGTACATAGCTCCCAACCATTAACGTTTTCTTTCTTTTTCGTTGGTCCGCAATTATTTTTCACCCTTAATTTCCCGGGCTTTTTTATTATTATTATTATTTCAATTGATCTATATCGTTCTTGCGTACATCCCTTAGTCCTGCTCTTCCTTTTGCTAATCTTTGGTTCGCGTTTATATCATTTAACTAAGGGTTTGTTTGGATTTGGGGCGGGTGAAGGGAAGTTAAGGGAACCTAAAAAATTAAGGGAATGTAAGGTAACATGTAAAGCTTGTTTGGGAAATTAGTAAGGGGGAATCAAGAGGAATTTATTTCACCCCGTTTGGAGAGTGTAATAAAGCGAACGGAAGGGAAAGGAATATATATAAAATGATATAAATACCCTTACGTGTTATTAAGTTATGTTGTTGTTAGATCTTTATAGGGGGTAAACCGGTCTCTCTATCATTGCTTTGCTTTCCTCCTTTACCTTCACCCTGGTTACACCCCAATTTGGGGGAAGGAAAAAAAAAAGGGTTTTCTCCCCTGCTTTACCTTTCCTTCTCCCCCACCACCTAGCCCGATTTGATTCCCAAACAATGTTAAAAGTCTACCATAACTTCCCCTACCTCTCATTACCCTCAATCCAAACACACCCCAAATTTAAGCCTAGACCGAACCAATCAAACGAAACTATATCAGTTTTGTTTGATAAAAGGTTTTTAAAAACAACCGAACCGACAATTTGATCTCCTAGCTGGCTAACAAAGCAGCAAATTGAGCATGATATATGCTAGGCCCCACTAGGACGTGGAACCCATTTTCTGTTCTAGTAGATATGCCAAGATGTGAACGTGGTTATTCATTATATTATCCACCATTGTGTGTCCTTTATTTATTTTATTTTTTTATTTTTATTTTTTTTAAGGATATGCTAGAAATAAACATAGCCAGAAACTGTTTCACAGTGAAATTTGTTTTCTTTAAAAAAAAATGCTATGAGTATTAAACATGAAGAAGTACAAGCTGAATAGCCAAATGAAACGCATATTAGCAAATAAGCATAGTTCAAATGCAAAATTTGATGAACTACTAATCTACTTATTCACTAAAAAAAGAAAAACTACCAGATTCAATGTTCAATGTGCATAAATTAAAATTCCAGCAGAAGTTCTCAAACTAACCTACTTTCAGTTTGCAGATACATCAAAATGATCCCTGCAATGGAGGCGAGAGTTTGGACCTCAAACAAGCTCCCAGTCAGAGGAGAAGCCATCGCCTTCATCACCAGAATTAGGTTTCTTTCTGCATGAATCTAGTTCTTCATCGCTCGAACTTACGAAAAAATCTAGGCCTTCTTTTTCCTCATCATTGTTTCCAATTGAATCATTAATTTCAGATCTATTCATATCAGTGTAGAATGTATCTTCACTAAGTTCCAAATCTGAGGAGTTTGCAGCACCCAGGTTTCCCGATGTTAACACTCTATCCACAGCAATCTTAGCAGGTGTAAGCTCAATGTTTTTTGCTGTAGAGTTTGCTATGTTATCTCGGTCTTTCAAAACTTTGAGTCCAGCCTGAACAGATGCATCCTCTGCTGCTACAGGATTCTTCTTCTTCGTAATGATTGGTGCCTCATGCTTATAATACATGGAGTCCTCCGGACTTGAGACTTCAGATGATTGTTGCAGGTTTCCTGTAAATATTAATGTGTCATGAAAACCTTTGTTGAGCCTGAGATTTATTGATAGTAAAGAACAACGAATATTTACAGGGATAAGAATACATGCATGAGGATGGAGGGATAATAACAAACTAAAAGGATTAAGTGTGGGCAGACCCCCTGTAAATACGCCCAATTGCAGATAGACCCCCTGAGTAAAAAATTTCTGACTCCTTTACCCTTATGTGGTCTATTTTTACTGAGGGTGAAAGAGTCAAAAAGGTTCACTCAGGGGGTATATCTTGCAACAATAGAACTAGAGAGGGTCTATCTGCAAATAACCAAACTAAAAATTTGTATAGGACCTGCAACAACATGTGGTCAAACCAGAACTCGACATGGCATGAAAAACCTTACTGGAACAGACTATGGATTAATGTGATGATACAAAAGCAGCGAGACTTGAGAATAATGAGGTCATCCAAATGTACCAAGACTTGAGAGCTATACCTTCTGTTTGGTGGTTGTGACTCTCTCCATTGATCTCGATTTGAGCAAATTGTAGCTTCATTATGCACAAGGCAGCCTCAGCTTTGATCCATAGTTTCTTATATACCTCTGCCTGAAAGCTTTCTTTACCATCACTGACATTGTTCTGAAAAGCGTTCTAAATGGACTGATAAATGACACAATTAAAGTTGCTCTGGATAAGAGAATTTTTCTATGCAGTTTACGTATCTAAAAATGTTTAAAGAGATACCTTAACCACATTTTCATGATTACAAAGATCAGATGAATTGTGATCATAAGAAAGGTCGACCTCCTCCTTGAGCATCTCCAATGTAACAGAATGAATCATCTCATCCCTGGTACAGGAATCATGTTTCTGTTTACCACCGAAATCACTATTTAATCCAGCAATTGGCCTAGAATCATGAGCATTCCTCCTGTTAACATCCTGAAAGAGAGATTCTTTGGTAGTTAGAGATATATCGGATTAGACGAAACAAGGAAGATAGTAAATACTAATTTGACGCTACAAACAGAGCACAAATAATATAAACAACCTACTTTTGCTATACAAGAATAGAAGTGTGGGATCATTCCCTGTGAATTGCTATCAATGTTTAAGAGTTGTTGAGACCCCACGCTTTTGTTTCTTGTACTGAAAAGTAGTATAGGACTTATAGTATAATTAGTATCAGCCTTTTATCTAACGCAATTAATGTTAAGAGAAGCTTGCATATTTTAGTTAGTTTCAATTAAGTTATTTGAGAAGGTATATCATACGGACAACAGCTTAAAGTTGTATTGGAGATTTTTCAACAGTTGCATACCAAGATGGCAAAATGTCTCTGCCGGTGTAGAATGCCTAAATAAAGCCAGGTAGCTTTAACAAATCCTTAAATTTGCCCCTATTAGGGTTACAGTTTTAAAATTTTGAACAGAGAACCAATATACGAGATTCGGAAGCCAAGTTTTTCACATATATTTCTAGGTAAAGCTAGAAGCTTGGCAATTCTTGTACCAATATCATCAAAGCTTTTCACCATAATAATGAGACTCTAAAGAGCACACCTCTGTAAGTAGACAGAACTGACAATTTGATGAAGTTTCTAGAGGGAGTTCATGTTGGGAATTTAACGCCTAAATCACTAATGCAACAGAAACACAGAATAAAAAGTACACCAAGATTTACGAGGTTCGGCAACTGCCTACGTCCTCGGGAGCCACACAGTCAATTTCTTTCGGCAACTGCCTACGTCCTCGGGAGCCACACAGTCAATTTCTTATTAATCAAACAAGAAATTACAATTGAAGAGCAAATCCCTCGGGAGCCACACAGTCAATTTCTTATTAATCAAACAAGAAATTACAATTGAAGAGCAAATCTCAAAATTGAGATTTCTCAAATAGAATACTGTAGCTACAGTGTTAATACCCACAATAAATACCCTCTTCTCTTTTCTCTCTTTTCTTAAATATCCCCCTTCAAACACTGTTGAATGAAAGCTGGGGATTGAAAATCGCTGCTGCGATTTTGGGAATGAACGCTGCTGCGTTTAAGAGAATCCGCCGCCAGAGGAAAAACGAGGGGGGGCAAAAAGCAAACAAAACCCTAGGGCATCGGGTTTCTTTTATAGGAGAATCGATGACAGGCTGGCGACAGCCTGTCGCCAGCGATTGCTCGGACGCGACCGCTGGACGCGAGGGTCGAGCCGCTCAACGCTGAGGGTCGCGTTCGCCATCAACCGAGGGTCGCGTTCGCCTGGGGGTTCGACGTCGACTTCGCCTGCGTCATCTCCGAGCTCGTCGGAGCTCCTCGCCGGACGGAGGTTGGTATCCACCTCCAAACTAACAATCTCCCACTTGGAGACCAAACTGACGTTAACGGGCTATCTTATCAAGCTCCTCTCCTGTGTGGCTCCGCCCTCATCATCTATGCATGAAGGCCAACTGAAGTTGCGCACAACTCTAGTTTCTGAACGGTCACCGTCTTTGTTAACATGTCTGCTGGATTCTTATTTCCTGGAATCTTTTCCAGTTTCAACACGTCATCTTCCAACAGGGATCTAATGAAGTGGTACCGAAGCGCAATATGCTTCGTTCTGGAATGAAATGTTAAATTCTTCGCCAAGTGTATCGCACTCTGGCTATCACTGCGCAAAACATTCTTCTCCTGTTTGAATCCCAACTCTGTTAACAAACCCTGAAGCCATATCATCTCTTTACCGGCTTCAGTCACTGCAACATACTCAGCTTCTGTAGTGGATAAGGGAACAAACTTCTGTACCTGTGACATCCAACTAACAGCTGTACTTCCGACGGTGAATACATAGCCGGTGGTGCTTCTTCGGTGATCAACTTCACCGCCGAAGTCCGCATCTACGTACCCTTGCACTTCCACTTCTCCCTTACCAAAGTGCAAACACTTCTGTGTGGTGCCTCGTAGATATCTCAGAATCCACTTGACCGCTTCCCAATAAGCTTTTCCTGGATTCGACATAAATCGGCTGACCACTCCCACTGCATGGCCAATATCTGGTCTTGTACAGACCATTGCGTACATCAAACTTTCGATAGCTGAGGCGTAAGGAACCTGAGCCATACTCTCTTTCTCTTTTTCTGATTGAGGAGACTGATCCTTCGATAGACGAAAATAACTGGCCAAGGGTGTGCTCACAGGCTTGGCGTCGCCCATGTTGAATCTCTGCAAAACACGGTTGATGTACTCCGTCTGAGATAACTACAAGAGACCTCTCTTCTTATCTCTCGTGATTTGCATTCCAAGGATCTTCTTCGCTGGACCCAAGTCCTTCATGTCAAACTCCTTTGACAGCTGCTGCTTCAAACTCTTGATATCCTCCATATCTGCTCCTGTAACCAACATATCATCAACATATAGCAGTAGGATGATATAGCTGGACTGATATCTTTTGAAGTAGCAACAGTGGTCTGCGTTGCACTTTTGGAAACCTTCCTTGTGCATGAAGCCGTCAAACTTCTTGTACCACTGTCTTGGGGCTTGTTTCAGGCCATACAAGCTCTTCTTGAGTCTGCACACCAGGTTCTTCTTCTTTTTTTCTGAGAAACCTTCTGGCTGGTGCATATATATCTCCTCTTCTAGATCTCCGTGAAGAAACATTGTCTTCACGTCTAACTGCTCGAGATGAAGATCTTCAATTGCTACAATACTCATCACGGTCCTGATAGTATTTAGCTTCACCACGGGAGCGAAAATATCGATGTAGTCAATTCCTTCCTTCTGTTAGAAACCTTTGACAACTAGCCGGGCTTTATATCTTCTGAAACCATCCTGCTCCTCTTTCACCCGGTACACCCATTTGTTGTGGAGTACCTTCTTACCCGTGGGCAACTCAGCTAGTTCCCACGTCTGGTTTGAGATGAGAGACTTCATCTCATCTTTCATGGCAAGCTCCCACTTGCTCGCATCTCCACACTGACAAGCTTCATCAAAGCTTTCAGGCTCCCCATCATCTGTCAACAACAGATAGTTCATATATCTCCTGTTGGGTACAGGAGGACGAGAAGATCTTCTTAATATCGGAGCTGGTGCGTCGGGCTCCTGCGCACCATCTTGTCCAACAGGCTCTTCTGGCTGAGGACCCTCTGCATTGGGTTCTTCCGAGAGGTTATTCGGGACATCATCTGCATCTATAAATGTGGACTCGCTCTCTGAGTCGTCAGTCTTGTGCATGTCCTTGTACATCACCTTCTCGTTGAATATCACATCTCTGCTCCTGATCACCTTCTTGTTTTCGTTGTCCCAAATGCGGTAGCCGAATTCATCTTCACCATAACCGATGAAAGTGCATTTCTTTGACTTGGGATCAAGCTTATTCATGCATTGATCACTAATATGCACGTAAGCTACACAACCGAAAACTTTAAGATGTGAGAGTTTTACCTCCTTTCCGCAACATATCTCCTCTGGTATTCTGTGTTCCAATAGAACCGATGGACCTCGGTTGATCAAGTAAGCTGCTGTGTTGACCGTTTCTGCCCAGAACTGCTTTGATAGGCCTGACTGTACTCGAATGCTTCTGGCTCTCTCCGTCAACGTTCGGTTCATCCGCTCAGCTACACCATTTTGCTGAGGCGTGCCGGGCACGGTTCTCTCCATTCTGATCCCGTGCTCATAGCAGAACTTCTTGAATCCGGTGTCTTCATACTCACCGCCATTGTCGGTCCTGAGCTTCTTTATTCTCAGACCGGTCTCATTCTCGACCATAGCTTTCCATCTCCTGAAAGCCTTAAATACTTCTGACTTATGCTTCAGAAAGTAGACCCACACTTTCCGAGAGTGATCATCGATAAAAGTCACGAAGTAGCGTTTTTCATCAATAGACGCGATGGTTGTTGGCCCCCACACATCTGAGTGAACGAGCTCTAGCTTCTCTTTCTTGGGGGTTCTGCCACTTGTCTGAAAGCTGACTCTCTTCTGCTTTCCGAGTATGCATTCTTCACACATATCCATCTCCACTGACTACAGTCCTGGGAGTTTTCCCTTTGTGTGCATGATCTTCATCCTCTTTTCACTCATATGACCGAGTCTCTGGTGCCACAGCTTTGAAGTCTCATTGCCTGCTGCAACTGAGATCGAACAACGTGCATTTGCTGTCATATATAGGGTACCAGTCTTCCTGCCTCGGGCAATCGTCATTGCGCCCTTTGAGATCTTCCAATCATCTCCATGGAAGGTCGTGGTATATCCTTCGCCAGCCAACTGGCCTACGGATATTAAATTCTTTCTCAGGTCGGGAATATGTCTGACATCCTTCAGCTCCCATACTGACCCGTTCAACTTAATTTTCACCACGCCTTTGCCGACAATAGCACATGGTTGATCATCACCAAAATATACGTATCCAAGATTTCTGGGAGTATAATTCTCGAAGAATTCTTTCTGAGAGGTAACATGGAACGACGCTCCTGAATCTAAAACCCAAGATTCCTCCTTGCTCTCCAAAGAGCATATCAATGCATCGTCTCCTCCTGAAGTGGAGGTGACATTCACCTCTGCCTTCGCCTCCTTCTTCTTCTGTGCACTCTTGTACTGATTCTTGTAATGCCCGGTCTTTTCATAATTCCAACACTCGATAGCCTTCGAGCTGTTGCTTGGATTCCTTGATTTGGACCTCCTGTCCTTTGATCTACCTCTGAAGTTTGATTTTTCTCGTCCGTTTCCTCTGGTTGAATTTCTACCTCTTGACTCTGTATGCAATACTGAAGAGGTTGTAGCTTCACCCATCTCTCTCCGTCGGATCTCCTCACTGAAAACCAAATCACGAACGTCGTCGAACTTTAACTTTTTCTTTCCCGACGAGCTACTCACTGCCGTGACTGTAGCGTTCCAACTCTCTGGTAGGGAAGACAAAAGTACCAACATCCGAACTTCCTCATCAAACTCAATCTCAACTGAACTCAATTGGGTTG